AGCGCGCTGCCGATTTGAAGATAGTTGCGCAAACACATGCAGCTATGAAGGCAAAACTTGCAATAAAAGAGGTTCAATTACATGCTAGAAGTGCATGGCGCTTGCTTCCCCTGACTTTTCAAGTAGGATTGGTGCCAAGAGGTCTCAAAGTGCAAGGGCCGGGCGTTGGGGTTGCAGACCTCCCCGAAAACTTCGTCGCGCTTGCGGGCCTTGCAAGAAGCAAGTCAAGGCCCTGAAGACCTGAAGACTTCGAGCTGATGTCCATTTCAACAGCAAATATCATCTCCGTTGTACGACAGGACAGCCCTGATGTCTTTGCTAAAAAACGGCGCAAACACGAGGTGAAGTGAAGGACGACCCTGGCTGATCCTCTGCTTACAGCATTGAGAACGTCTGCTTGAGGCACTTGCTACTGGCTTCGCCTCTTCCTCCTCCGATCCAGACGCCGCCTCACACCAGTAAGTTCAGACACCAGCATTTGAAAGGTAGCATGAAGACATTGCTCATTCGTGAATCCTGCATCCTGCCCTGTCCTACGCTTCATATTTGACATGATACCATCTCGTATCATGAAAACGTGCACCGCACAGCATTCCAATTGTTTGGCCTCCTCCTCCTCTTTAGCTTTGCCAGCCCGGGCAGCTCTGGCCTCAACATGGCCGTGCTCACACAACATTGAAAGTCTAATGGTACGTGTTGGCTTGAGTCACAACATCCAAGTTCCTTGGCAAACTTATCAGACCTGTTGGTTGACAAGGGATTGACAGCAGCTCTGATGCGTCCTCCAGCAAGAGAAAAAGGGCTTGACAAGGTTGCCACTGGCTCAACTGCAGGCTTCTGAGCAGCATTGCCTTGTCGTAGGCAGACTCCTCGCCAGCATTCCTTGCCTTCACTTCGTCAAAGCTGGATATATGTTTCGACCTGCAGCGCAAGTGTGAATCCTCTTCATCTGTTTGTGCGACCGAAGAGTCCCAATTCTTGCAGAATAACTAAAGGGTCGAGATTTAGTTTAGGAGTTTTTGTTGAGGAATTGTTTTCGCCCCCAGTGCAAAAAGTGCAGTGTTGTACACCATGTTCTCACAAACACCAGAGCTGCCATCATCCCCCGCATCATTTGAACATCCCCGGCATCACTTTCAACACATCAGCATCGCCAGTTGGCTTTGGTTTTGTCTGGGTTTAGGGTAAGTTTAAGGTTGGCTTAGGCTTCAGGCTGGCTTGTTTAGGGCTATTTATGGGTAGCCTCAGGGTTTTTGTTGGGGTGGCTTAGGGTTGGTTTTGGGTTGGTTTTGGTCGGTTGGGTTTGTGTAGGTGGGTGTAGGCGGAGTTGGTGTGGCTGCGCTTTAAGGTTTAGGAAGGTTTCGGGTTGGTTCAGGGTAGGTTTAGGGTTGGTGCAGGTTTTGCTTGGGGGTTGTTTTAGGGTTGGTTTAGGTTTAGGGCTGTGGTTGGGTTTAGAATGGTTTAGGGTGGTGTATAATAAGTGTAGTGCTGGTTTGGTTGCGGAGAGAGGGTTTGCTTAGGGTGTGGTTTGGGTTGGGAAGGGTGCGCGGTGGGTTCAGTTTGGGCTTAGCGTTGGTTTAGGATTTAGTGCTGGATCAGGGCGGGCTTAGGATTGGTTTGGGGCTGGTTTAGGGTGGTCTTTTTGATTGTTGGTTATAGGGTTTGCTTGGGCTTGGTTGGGCTTGGTTTGAGGTGGGGTTGGGGCTGGGTTTTTCGGATTCGGAGTTTTAGTGGGAATTTACGGTTGGTTTAGGGTAGGCTGAGGGTGGTTTAGGGAAGGCTTGATTAGTGAGGGTTTAGGGTTGGTGTATGCGGATTGGCTAAGGGTGGTTTTAGAGTGGGGGTTTAGGGTTTATTCATGATTGAAGGTAGGTTTAGAGTTGGTTTAAGGTTGGTTTAGTGGTGAGTGGGTTTAGGGTGCGAAACGTCGGTTTAGGGTGCTAACAGGGTTGGCATGGGATTTGGCTTTGCCTGTTTAAGCTGATCACCAGGCCAAACACCGGCCCAAGAAGCAGGGGGTTGGGGGGTGGGGGGGAGCCCCCCCACATGTTAGGGGCGCTGCGTTTGATGCTGGGGGTGTTGCTGCTGATGGTGATGATGTGGAAGCCAATGCCACAAAAGCCCACCAAACCTCCATAACTAAACGCTGGGCAGTAACACGTAGTAATATCGTAGCAGTACACTGGCTCCAGTGCTTTGCGGTTGTCGCGAAACCGTTTGGGAATCCATCGACTCAGTCTGTAAAGATGCCAGCCCAACCCTCCACCACGGCGATGATCGGTCTTGAACTTGCGCGGCGGCATGGCCTCCGGAGTTGGGACTCTCTGCCCCCCACAAAGACTCCAAGGGCAGATCGGCACATAGAAACGCCAGCTGAAAATGGGAAGTGCCCTTTGATCAGCTGGGTTACATCTCCCGCCCTTGGCAAGAAACTCCCAATCCGAACCCACCTGCAAATGCACGCAATCTGTGGCTGCGCTCTACTGGGCGAGCGGCTCGTGACTCGTGACTTGGTGCTAAATGCTTGAGACTTGTTGGTATCATAACATCTGTCTGAGCTCTGTCGCTTAAGCACGCGCCGAGAGCCGAGATTTAATGCGGGCTGGGCCTCATGCCGTGAGAGATGTCTGGTTGCAAAGCGATACTCCGACAATTTGTGTGGTTTCCAATTGCAACATTCCCAGAGCCTGTGCACCCAACCCAAACACAACTCTTTGGTGCTCAGTCGAACATGAAATGAGCATGCTTTCTCCTGTCCACTATTTTGTCCTCATGCCGCATCACTTCCTGTCTGCCTTTCGGGCTTCTCCTTGGGGGCTTCCTGGCGATCTTTGAGATCAAACAGCTTGTTCCAGTGAATGAAAGACTGGGACCGTTCCTTGTCTGCTCAAACTTCATCTCAGCCAAAAAGAATACTGCAGTTCAAGCTGGGGCAAAGAAACATGTTCAAGCTTGGGACCCCTGATATCGTTGCTGGGAGACAGCCAGTGAAACTCAGATCAACAGTCGAACTCGGTTGATCGTCGAGCAACAGTGTCCTTGCAGTTAGCAAGGACGGCAAATGCAATGAACAAACAACATGGGAACTAGTATTGATGTGTCTCATCATTGCCAAGGACAAACTCCACTGGGAGCAATGTTATGAAACGCCATGCATGCCCATCCGCTTCCACGTGAGTCAGAAATTCACATGGAAGAGCTGGTCCTTGGCCGCAGGCGAACGTGGGCAACTGTCAGTTGTAGCGCATTGCAAGCAAGGTTAAAGCGTGTTTGGGGATGACAGGTCAACTAACCAGGTGTGTCACACACGGGAGTCATCTGAGCATCTTTTTCAATTGAGTTTTACACTTAAGATCAGAAGAATAGTATCCCATCAATCCCATTCACATGTGATCAGCCAACTGTGGTCCAGCATCTGTTGAGTATGGCATGATGGTCTCGTCTCCCGTGCCCTGGGCCCTGGGCCCTGGGGCCAGGGTTGAGCAAAATTGGTTTAAAAAACAGCACTCTGGTCCCCTTGTAAGGGCAACCAAAAGGATTGTTGAAACAAAATCAGTCTTAACATGTTTGAACAAGGGCCTAGTGCAACGCCTGGGGCCGTGGCTGAGTCGTATGCCACCACCGAGGCGCCAGAGCCGTGCAGAGCCACGCCGCAGAGCAACTGGCATCCGAAGCCGCGAGCGAGGGCAGCGGACCCCATCTGGCCAAGTTCCTTACTTTTTAAAACGGCAAGAGGCAGACCTTCATGATCGATGGATTTCTTGCTGTGCCTTTTCAGCCGTGACCAAGTCGTGGCTTAAGTGAGTCATAATCAAAACCTGGTACTACAATGGTCTACCCAGAACCATGTAAGGATTAACAAGGCGGCTGCACCCATTTATGGTTGGGACTATCCCTTCTTAACCTTCATCTACCCGGGCTTTGATTGTAGCTCGAGTGAGCAAAGTGACTGGTGAAGGTGGGGCTGAGCAGTTGTGGAAATAATCCTGGTGATGGTTCACACATTGTTTCGAGTTCTTTTAGATTTATCTCTGAATGATGATCATCACTCGAGGGTGATGTAATTGTTGGACTTCTTTTGCAAGTCGTATTCGCGGCTGCTGGTTGTTGGTTGTTGGCGATTGGATGGTGGAGGAAACTGATGGCTGGCTTAGTTTGGGTTCAAGGCTTCGGGCCCTGTAAAGCATGATGGGATTCGAAGGATGGTGGGATCTGCAGTGCAGGTCGATCTGGTCAATCTTTTATTGAGTCGGCTTTCTGTGTGGTTCATGCCCCAAAATTCACATCAACATGCTTTCCGTCGCCATCAGTCTTCACCTCACCATACCTGCACACTTTTGCGATGATGCACAAACCCTCCCCACGAATTGTTCACCCTCTCCCCCTCACGGCCTTGTCTGTGACCGTCGTGGAATGCATTAGAGTCACGATTCCTTCGCTGGACTCCACCTCGCCAGGCGAAGGGGAAAATATTGGGTGTGTTTCAACAGGAAGCTGGACATCTACAAAAAGCAAGAAAAAAGAACTTACCAATATGACCAGAAAACCTGCAACCCCCTTTCTGGGTGGTATGAAACTGTGCCAGGTGGGTCGCGCAACGTGCCAAGCACCCTTCGCGCCTGCCAAACATTTAGCACGGTGTCCTCGCCCACCGTCACGATGAGGCCCATGTCCTCTGTTAACAGCTGAAAGAGCAAACAGAAGCTTTGAAGGGTCCCTGCGCGTTTGTGTTGGCATAATCAGCATGTTTGCCAAAGAGAGAGAGAGAGAGGGAGAGAGACAGAGAGAGAAGAAGAAAAAAAGCGGAAAGAGAGAAGGACTACATCTTGCACGGAAAGCAAGCAAAACTCCCCTGCTCAAAGGACAGTCTTGCCTCTTGCCGCCTTACAATGGAGGTCGTTGAGCAATGGAGGGCCTACCCAAAAAAAAATGAGGGGCCTCCATGAAGAAAACCAATCAAGCAATTTAGGGGTCAGCGGTCTTCTCAAGTAGTTTTTAACTAAGTGCTAGTATTGGTTTTCGTATTAGTTTAGTACTGCCTAGTGCTGCCTTAGTGCTAGTTTGGTATTGGTTTAGAACTGATTTGGAATTGCTTCTGCCTTAGTACTGGTTTAGTACTGATTTAGTTCTGGATTGTATTGTTTTGCATCGCTTTGTGCTGGTATTGTATCGGGCCTCTTCGGTCCTCTTCGGCCTTCTTGTCCTCTTCGGTCTTCTTCGGTCCTCTTCTTACTGCTTATGTGCTGCCTTGATGCTGGCTTAGTGCTTGTTGAAAATTGGTTTAGAGTTGATTAGTATTGGTTTAGCTTGACGCTGGCTTAGTGTTGGTTTAGAATTGGTTTAGAGTTGATTGTTTTTGGTTTGAATATCCTGAATTGAGTGCCCCTCGTCAGCTCTTGTTTGTGCGTATCAGCACCTCGGCTGTACTGCCTGGAAAATGGTTGCCGGGCACTTTCAAGAAGGCTTCGATCACGAACTTGCAGTTTGGGGGCGCCGCCTGAACAGCAGAAGAGACACGGTAATTGACATAATTAATGAGGCAAGAGAACCGGGTCGCATTTTCTGGGGCACAGCTTTTGAGGAGATGTTTGGGAACAAGTGTCTGGTATTGGGCGCCCTTGTTCTTTTACGAGGAACTGAAAAATGCTGGAAAACCTGTCTGGAATGTGGTCGTCTTGGGTTCATCGGTGACCCGCATTATGCAAGGGTGCGGTATAAATTTGGAAGCAAAGTTTCTTTGGGATGGTCCTTCTGTGTTTGTTTTCTTTTTGTTTAATGGGCTTCTGATTTTCGGCCCCGAAACCATTGAGCCTCTTTTGAGTCCAACCACCTGAGGACACCGAACCAACTTGGATACATGCGCTCAGGCACCAAAGCCCCAAGACCCCGGTCTGTCAGAATGTATGAAACAAAACGCCTAATCCTTCCGTTGGAAATCCATGACGGTGAGTGAACCAGCCACATTCAACCGCAAAATCTCTCGCCCTGCAATTTCAGATAGTTGCCCCTTCTGAATGTTACCCTTCTTCCCATTTGGGTATTCAAAATTTAAGAGCTAGGGTTACGCAGGTTTTAGTCTTTGGTTCCATTTACCAAGGTACCATTTTAGTCCATGTTTCTGGGCAGCCATCTGTTCCCCTTGTCCTCCTTTATTCCCCTTGTTCCCCTTGTTCCCCTTGTATCCCCTGGTCATAGCTCAAGCGCACCTCTCTGGACACAGCGGCAGACAGCCACCGCGCATGGGCAGTGACCTCGGCCTAGGCGTGGCTTGGCCCTTTTTGGATTGACGAGTCAAGGTACAGAGAGAAAGAGAGAGGGACAGGGGGTTCAGAATACGAAAAGAACACCCACCATCCAGGGGTTGATCTTCTTTTCAACCATTGTGCTTCTCAAACACCCTCAGATTCCTGTGATTTTGCGTCGTGGGAGGGAAGCGTACACCCAGCTGAGAACGACACCACAAGGAGCTAGCTTGTGTGACTGCATCCAATGCAACCCAAGAGAAACCGGGCTTCACTCCCATTTGAGCCAAACCCAACCACTCTACACGCGCCTTGAGCTCCCGCGAGAGAGCGTCAAAGATCAGGATCGTCCCCGGCCTCATGCTACCAACTCGCACCCTCGAACCCCGCCGAATCAACTGACCTGGTCTGAGCTTTGGGCCAATCTATGGAAATATGCTCAAAACTGCTGTTTTTCAATATCAACTACTTTCGCCCAAACCAGTTGCCACCAGTCCCAATCAATCCTTAGGCTCCCTGGGGCAACGGCCCATCTGCGATTGCAAGCTGCGCCCCCAGCGAGACTACTCGAACTGGGGCCTCAAACAGAGAAGAGTTGGAAGGCACTGGCATTGGTCCATGCACGCGTGCTGTAGACACATTCTAAGACAACGCGGCACGCCTGGGCATGACAATGCAAGAAAGAAAGAAAGGTGTTCCTCTGATAAAAGTATCTTGCACCAGGCGCAACTGCTGGGCTCCTTCAATTCTCTGTCTCTGTGCGAGTCTTCACCTAGGACACGAGTCTTCACCTAGGACAAGCTTAAAAAGAGGGGGGCAATCCTAGGTTGACACAAACTGCAGGTTTCATGTTGCATACAGTATTGGGAAACGCGTGGATGGGAACACAATGGCGGACACAGCACAGTGGGTGTTACATGTCGGAGGAAAAGTTGCAAAAAAAACATTTGGCTAAGGCAGAGATTAACGCAGCCCCTAATTCGCACTGAACACAAGACCAGGCAAGTGTCTGCTTCGGAAAATCAAAATAAAGCTGCGCTTTCGTGATTCAGTATTGTCTGCAGAGCACGGCAATGATGCCCGGCATACATTTCATTGTCCCTTGGAAGCTATGAGTGGCCATGAAGGGTCATCAGGGCCAAGCTCCCGCCATAGCTTTGAGCTTGTGTGTGTGTGTGTGTGTGTGTCTGTCTGTCTGTCTGTCTGTCTGTCTGTGTGTGTGTGTGTGTGTGTGTGTGTGTGTGTGTGTGTGTGTGTG